AAGTGAATTTTTTTTACACTTGATTATGAAATTTGTTTCCATTATACAAAAAAATGACAGATCTTAGAAAACATTTTCCCACCTAAAAGGTGGGAATACCTTTTCCTTTCACGCCATGAACTAGGCGCGTGAGTAGAAAATTAAAGTGCTAAATTCTAGGGCAAAAGGTGGCCATCAAACAAGACATTTGCAAGGAAAAGGAAAAGAAATTCCGTTTTCCATGAAAAATGGTTGTTATCAAATGCACCATTAATACTTATCAGTACTGTATATCCCATTGTAATTTGGGCGTGATATCAGGGCTCTGGGCTGCATGCATGATGCTGCACATGGATGATACCATCTACCTGGAACGGTCGAAATTTGATCCCTTGCGCTTAGAGTGCCAAGCAACATGCCCAGTGCCCACCACCTTATAGCTATACGGCATTTGCAAATTGATACTCTAACAATGATTTAGTACATTTAGGTGGAAACTTTTTATGAAAGAAAACTTCTTAATCAGAGATCCCTTACCAGAGGGATTAACTGTACAAATTGAGCTTAAGAATTCTAAATTTCTAATGATGCAATGTAATAAGCTTAATCTTCAATGACTGAAATTAGATTTATTTAGAATAAAATAGTTATTACTTTGTAAATGAATAGCGTTACTCCTTTGTATTATGGAATTAGGATATTGCCAAATCCTACACCTGTGCTATGCTGGTCCATTAAATTTTTCTTATCGATAAATAATTAACTTCCACAAGCATAACAAAGACATGTTTCATAGAAATGGTATGACATGTCTTTGTTTAAAATTTTATAATAAAATGAAAGCCAATCTAAAAGTAGAATGGAGTAATTGTAATGATATTATTTATTGTGAAAAAATTGGAATCTCGGAGGTCCTAAACCTTGGTATTATTGGGAAATTTCACGCCAATTCCCTTTATTTTTATTACTCGTAGGATTGTTTTTTTAGGAGAATATTAACAAACAAAAAAAATAAAGAATATAACGTACAAATTAAAAGGACAGTCAAAACTTTTTCACTATATGAAAAATTGTTACAATCATATAGAATTCACTTACCAAACCAATTCCAAAATATTACAAAGAAAATTCAGCGGTCAATTCGTGAACCTGCCGGCTTCGGCCTTTCCAGCCGCAAAGTTTGACTCTCTCTCTTTCTCTCCCTATGTATATATGAACTCCAAGTCCAGTCAGTTGAATATATATACATATTTAGAGCTTGTTTGGTAGGGATTTTTGGGGGGAAGAATTGATTTTTAAATAGTGATATGATGGGAAATGTGTGGTTGAAAAAGAAGAAAAAATTATTGATATGATGAAAAATATTATTTTATTGAAGAATGTGTGGTTGAAATTGAGAATTGATTATAAAAAACAAA